AAAAATTAATTAAGATTTAATAATTATTAATTATGTTAGCTATTTAGTACTAACGATTTGACTAGTGCGTTAACCCTTGTCTGTGGATCGGTACCGAGCTAGGGGATTAAACTTACCCCTATAGACCAAGTATCTCTCCCCATTTCCTTTCTCTCCTTGTCTACTTGTACGAAGACCTTATGACGGCGTGGCATCTAGACTCCTGAAGACCATGCGTAGGCCTTTCGGCAAGAGTATGATAGTCTCGGGACGCTGGCGACTCTCCATTGACGGGAGCGGGTCTCATCTTGTTTTCCTGAACAATGCGCGCTTCCATATGGCTGGGTCCCCTCCGTACCACACAGTAATAATTGGTACTTTGTCTTTTGGGGCAGAGGGATCAAATTTCCGTGCGTGCCGATTGCCTGCTCAGATACGGTCCGGTGTTTTGACACACAGCATTCCCCGTCCCTGATCGGCCACTGCATTACAGGACATCCTATCGGCGGTCGCATCTTATCACTGTCCTTGGTAGAACGTAGATCTACCTCATGGCCACCGACCTGTGAGACGCGCCTCTCTCGTGACAATGGCTAGCAAAGGTCGGTGTACTCAAGGTCTCTCTCCTTTCTTGGTAATGGTCCCTGATGGACATCTCTGTAACGTCTTCTGTTGTTCCGTGCAGGGCTGTGCAGTCGGATTCTTGAATGCATTAGAGCTTCAGCTTTGCAGGGGTACCTGGGGCCTGCCACTCCCAGGACTAGCCTCTCGAACGGCCGCCATTCTTGGTCCGAACCGTGATCTGAAAGCTCCTTGCTTCTCCAGACTTTAGAGTCCTGACAGTTGATGCTCTAACGGGAGGCTTTGCGCTTGGAGACCTTCAGAAGACGTGAAATTCGAGGCACAGCTTCAGTGTCAGTGATTCTTAATTCCCAGCCAGAGCTTACTCGAATCCCGATTCATGCTTTGCCATACCTTATACCCGATAGGTATTTAAACAGTACTCATTATGCAGTGCTATAACGTGTCTGTATGCCTTCGCTCGTAAGTCACGTGCTGTGTGGCCTTCCACCAGCCCGGTTGGGCAATCTTCCAGAATGACCATTCCACTTCCAGCAGGCGGTTGCCCCTCGCAACGAAGAGACATGCACCGATCTACCTTACAAGACGGCTCTGCAACACTTTCGTGCAATGTCAAGCCACACCCAAGCTCAAAGTACCGGAATTGGAGAGAGGATCTGACTTACAGCTACAATCGGCAATCACACCGACACCATGACTGGATATGTCGACTTTGCCTCGTCTAGTGAGGACGAGTTCCCCGACCTAGATGCCGTCCTGCAAAGGAGTAAACAATTCCGCCGACCTACCAAAGCACCTGCTCAAACAACGACCAATAGCATTGATAGCGACGACGATGCTTCACCCTCGAGACAGCTCGAAGAAGAAGCTCTTCAGTGGAATGCATCAAACTCGAAAGATTCGGATGCCGGGAAATCAACGGTCAAGGCTGCGCCGCCGACTGTGCGACGCCGGAAGCTTGGTGTAAGGGTAGACAACGCCTTATTGAGGCCATTCGGAACTTTTTCGAGAAATGAGGGACAGAATCTATTCGATATTCCTATCAAATCCAAGGAGGTGCCTCGTGTAGGAGTGAGGGAGCTGCGCGTCAGAAGCCGAGACGTGACGCCGACGGGGAACCTATCATCAAAGTCAGACGATGAATCAGACGGCAGCACCAACGAGCAAACTGAAATTACCGAGGCCGACATTTCTGAATTCTTTGGTGATTCTGCATCAGAGTTCGAGGACGATGGGACTCCGACACTCTTTGGGCACGACTCTACGGCTTCGAGAGCTCGTGGTCCAGTATCGGGTCGCAGTCAGGAGACAGCCGCGCCGAGACAGAAGGAGCGCCAGCCAGTCACAAAACCTGCACCAGAAATCGACTTCCCAGACTCCAGGCCTAGCAGACCTCAAAAGACCACCAAAGCGAAGGAACGAAGCACCGGAAGTGTGCCCGGGAGGGAAACAACACGGCCACAATCAACGATCGTTGACCTCACTGACGATATGGCAGATGCTCTTCGTCGGCTAGATATGTAAGAGCCACCTCGTAAGTGGTATTGTTGCCTTGCTAACATGAAAATGCAGCACAGCCGAGCCACCAAAGAAGCAAGGCAGGGCTAGAAAAGATGATGCTCCGCCAAAAACTCCGCCATTGACACCGCCAAGGCCATCCACCAAATCACTGATATCCCCTAAGAAGCTCCCAGGTATTCCAAAGACACCCCATGGGCCTGGTATGGATATGTTCTGGAGTCAGGAGTTCGTGGATGAGTGGAACGAGGAGCACTCGCCCAAGAAACTAATATTGCCTCCGGCCCAAAGGAGTCCGGCGAAAAGTCCCAAAAAAGCGAAAGAACAGAAGACAAATACGGCCAACCGGAAAGAAAGCAAGAAGGCGTTCGAGCAGAGAAAACACGACATCGCCCAGACATTCCTCCAAGAACTTGACGATACCATCACCCAGGGCAAATTGCAGTCCCTAGCCGAGTCTACAGGAGGAGTCAAGATCCAGTGGTCGGCCAAACTCAACACCACAGCGGGAAGAGCGAACTGGAGGCGCGAAACCGTCCGTACCAAGAACGCCGACGGGTCAGAGAAATCGGTCACGCACAAGCATCATGCTTCCATTGAGCTCGCGGAGAAGGTGATTGATGACGAAAATCGTCTCCTCAACGTCGTTGCACACGAGTTTTGCCATCTGGCCAACTTCATGGTCAACGGCATCACTGGTAACCCGCACGGCAAAGAATTCAAGATCTGGGCGGTCAAGTGCTCACAGCGGTTCGGGGATCGTGGCATCGAGGTGACGACGAAGCACTCGTACGAGATCGATTTCAAGTACATGTGGGAATGCACCGAATGCGGGCTCGAGTACAAGCGCCACTCCAAGAGCATCAACCCCGAACGCCATCGGTGTGGCTCCTGCAAGGCGCAGCTGAAGCAGACGAAACCGACACCAAGAGCCGCCGGGAAGCCGTCCGAGTATCAGCAGTTCTTCAAGGAGCAGATGAAAGTGGTGAAGAAGGAGCACCCTGGTAGCCAGCAGAAGGAGGTAATGAAGATCATTGCAGAACGGTGGGCAAAGCGAGGTGGCAGTGCCCGGGCAACCCCCGATTCGGAGGCGGATGTGAACAAGGTTGGCTCTCAGCTGGTAGATTTGACGTTGTAGGAGGACATGAGGAATTGGCGTTGGAATCAAGCAGAGTCGACAGAGTTAATCGCCCATTGCTTCATGATTGATCACCAAATCTTATGGTTTTTCCAATTCTTATCCAGTGGCGCAGAACACCATCATCATAAGCATTGACAATGTCATCATCAATAAAGGGGAACCCGTCTGAGTTCATCGAGTGACAGGGAAGCAAGCACATGGTTACTGTTTAGGGCCAGCTTACTGATGTGTATCTGATATGCTACACAGTTGCTCAAGCGGCTTGATATACGAATTCCCCGCTCGACACCTTCCTTTTCGTTATCTCTGCCGCAACTACCGTCAATGTTCTTCTTTCGCCGATGGCAAATACTCTCTAGGTATAGTACAAGGAACAGACTTTGGGCGTAGTAGCTAGCATAGACGAAGTACGAGACCGCCCAGGTGGAGCGTGACAAGGCTACTTACCTTGGGATGACCTCACATTGAGCAGATGACCTACGCAGCTGGCACCCGCAAGTTCAGCACCAACTTGCGGTCGCTAGTGGCGACATAACTGCCGAGGAGGGAAGAATCTATGAACTAGACTTCAATCCAATAGAGTATATGTACTCCCACTGGCCAAATGCCCTATTTGCAAGGAGATTGGAGAGAGCCTCAAAGAGCGGCCCAGAAAAGTTCTTAAGCAGTGCATGTGGCCGGGAAGTAGACGACCATAGAGGGGAGGATGACCGTAAAGCGGATGATCATGTAGTGTTCTACACATTGTCGAATGTAGGAGGTTTCAAACTAGACCATCACTTCTCGTGTTGCTCTATCTATATGCACAAGAGCGCTACGACGATATTTGCGCAACGTCAATGGTGTCATTAATCATGATGAACTTATCACGATCGACTTTGGCGAAGTCCCAACCGCAAGGTGATTTCTAATCAACGGGGATGTTTTTCCAGAGCTCAGGTTACGTCAATTTTGCCAGTCAAGTAAGGCTACAGGTTTTCAAGTTGAACTTCCATCTACGGCGATTTTCGGTAGTTCTCCAAGAACTTTTCACATTTCTGGTATCACGCACCGGCTCCATCATGGGCTAGATAATCGTTGCCAAGGTCTATAAGACGACGCCGTTATTTTCCCCCTTGCTGAACAAGACACAACTCAAATGCTGGGTTTCGAACGTCTTTGTCAACGCAAGGCGGATTGAATTATCCGAAACGAAGGTGACAACTGTCATCTAGTATGGTGGAGGTAATCTTGCACGAAATGGTGATCACTGTTCGACTTCTTGTGCTCGTGTAGCTCCGTCGATATACCAGGGACCAGTACGATAGTTGTAGCTCGTCGACCCAGCTGTCGTAATATGTGTACACGTAGCTCAGCAACAGGTCATCAAAAAATAACCCTCTCGTTATCCAACATTTGTTTACATCCACAGAGGCAGTGACCCAAAAGATCATGACATAGGGAGAGTTCATAAATATATACATTCACAAATCTGATGTTGTTTTCTTGACATCATAATTCTCAGCATAGAACAACTCAACTAGTGACACCTAAAGAACCCAAGAGATGGCGTGGCTTTCATTTCGTTTCATCGTCAAGTTTCGCCGCCTGTCATTCCCGCCGTGTTCACGTAACCCGACGGTGGAAGGAAACTACCCAAATCTGTCAACTGCTTTTTCACGCGGTGTGCACCTCCTCGTAATTCACATCTTCGATCCGTCTTCCACTTTGGGGATATCCATATTCCGTCTTCCATTTTATCTCATCGAATCCCTTTTCACTCCTTCTCTCTTTCTGCCTCTCAAACCTCCTGGAACAAAGACCAGTCCTTCACCTTGAAGGTCTCCCAAATACGCGCAGCATACTCAACAGCGTCGCCAATCAGCTTTCCCTGCTTGCCGAGCTCCAAATCGACATCGGCCTCGTCGTACTCGCCCTTGATATGCGGCACGTTAATCGTGACCAAGATATCCGTCGACTCCTTCTCAAGGCGTACGAGGGTAAGAATGATGGCCGTGAAATCGGGCGCCGACGACGACGACGAACGGGACGACTTGCTCGCGTGCGGGGTCTGCGTCGCGATGAGGGTGTAGGCGGGAATGTCGGAGCTGAGGCGCGAGAAGGAGGTCTCGGTCGTGTTCCAGACCTTGACGGTGTCGACGTCCTCGCCGACGAGATCCTCGAGGTGCGTCGTCAGGGCGCGGCCGTCGATCTCGGGACTCGAGCCCGCGGGGCCGACGCGCTCCGTGATGTCGAAGATGATGCTCGTGAAACCGTCCGAGTCGATCCAGACTTCTTGGTTGTCGGGTACCTCGCGGAGTTTGCTGTGGTTTTTGGGAAAGGGGTTGTTAGTCTACTGCATATATGTATAGGGTATGGCGGGTGACTGGGAGCTTGGAAGAGAGTGACAAGAGGAAGACGAGGGACGTGAGAAAGGGAGGGGACCAACCTGACGTCGGCGAACTTGTCGGGCAAGTCGCTGACTAGAGCGCCGCCGTAGAGAGGGGTGCTTTTGTATCGGGTCATGGTGTTTGCTTCAGGTGATGGGTGCGTTTGCAGATGATTGCTTCGATAGAATGACCTGCCCTCTTCTCGTAAAACGGGGCTTCCTTCGTAGGTGCTGCTGTAATAGAGATACACGGGCTGGCGCAACAGGTGCGATCGATGTGCTCAAGGTATAGTTTGTAAGGTAGCCTGACGAAGCTTGTAAGGCGGGAATCAATGAGGACGCGGGACGGGCTGGGTATCACAAGAAGGTTACTGCAACAAGAATGTCACTCCAGGAAGAGCAACGGCGTTCTGGTCTGACTGCCCGCCTTATGTTGGCTGGCTGCCTTGCTTCCAGGTGCCGAGCAAAAGACTCGGCCAGGGCTGTTCAGTCACTCCAAGGTGGGGTTACGTCGGCTTGGGTAGAAAAAAAGGACCTGGCGTTTGCGCAGCAGAAGGAGGGGTATGACGACGATGGTGCCAGGGATCAGGTCTCCAGATGCGCCAGGTAGGTCACCCGTGCAGCAGCCCGGCAGTAGCCCAGCAGCTCCTTCAGCAACTTCACGCCGTGCGCTGCGCTCGCTGTGTTGGTCGGGCGCTGTCTTCTAACCCTCAAGACCTCGCGCGCGGCTTGACAGGTTGATGCGCAATTCAATTGTAGCATGACAAAAAAGGCACTGCAAGCTGCAATATCCGTCGCAGAGAAAAAGCGACAACTGGATCCTGTCGAGCAAGACATTCAGAACTCAAAAAACAAAATTTCGAACCTGGGTACTCCAGATGAGGGTGTGCCAAAGATTGGTGGAATGGAGTCTGTTGGGCCATCCAACGGTCACATCTGGTAAAAGGCAAGAGGTGAGTTCGATAGGAGGTCCCACTCCGAATTTTTGGAGGTGAATTGCTCTTCAAGTACCTTCCACACTATCTCCCGGTCGTAGCAATCCCCGAACCACCCCACACAAGCTTCCTCAGCTTCCGTATCCCCGCTCACCTCACTGCATATGCCCTCCGCATCTCTTCAATCCCGTCCTTTCATTTGCTCAACTTCATCATCCTCACTCACCTTTCCCTCTCGCAATTGATTCGGTGATTTCTCAACTTTGTCTAGACCATTTCAATTCTCGAATACGAAAGCCAGACTCAACATCCCCTCATCATGACGTCCAGCCTGGCTTCGTGCATCTTCTGCAAGATCATCAAGGGTTCGTCCCCATTCCCGCTCCTCATCTGATTCCAACCCCAAGACATCTCCGAACCCCCGCTACCGCAGAATCAACTGACATTTCGCCCCCCTTCAGGCGAAATTCCCTGCTTTAAGCTCTTTGAGAGCGAAAAGACACTCGCGTTCCTCGACATCAACCCCCTCAGCCGCGGCCATGCTGTAAGAACTCACCCATGTAATAATCATCCTGTGAAATATCCACTTACATTGTCTCCGCAGCTTGTCATCCCCAAGCACCACGGCGCCAAGTTGGCTGATATCCCCGACGATCAGCTCAGCGAACTCCTCGTAGGCCTTCCACCAGCCTCTCTCGCGCCCCCTTGTGTGTTCATTCTGACCCCTTGCGTTATTGCAGCCTGTTGTGAAGAAGCTCGTCGCCGCGACCGGTGCCACCGATTACAACATCCTCCAGAACAACGGCCGCATCGCTCACCAAATGGTCGACCACGTGAGTGTTCCCCCTTTATTCATCCACCTTGCCATTCATCATAGCTAATTATCATAGGTTCACTTCCACATGGTAACACTTCTCACCACCGCCTGCAATTCTCGTACTGACACCAGTTGGAGATTCCCAAGCCAAATGAGACTGAGGGTCTCGGCGTGGGTTGGCCCCAGCAGGCGACCGATATGGACAAGCTCAAAGCCCTCTTTGAGGATATCAAGTCCAAGATGTAGAGAAGCCAGTTTTGGTATTATCAACACCCCCGCCCTCAACTCAATAGCAGGCATATCAATTCCCCGCAATTCAACGTCCCTGGCTCTTTCAACCTCTTTTATCCCCCCGACCAATTCTCATAACCTGCGTGTACGTCCTTCGTGAATCTAATGCCGGCTGTGCCGGTCTCTAGTCTACATCATCGGCCGATGTCTCGACCGCGGGAGCTCCGTTAGTCGGCGCGGGTGCGGGTGCGGAAGCCGGCGTAGGAGCTGCTGCAGCGGGAGCGGGAGTGGCGGGAGAGGGTGCCCCCTTGGAGTACATGTCGATCTTGCCACCATCCTGGATAACGCCAGTCCGATCCAGGACGCACTTTGCTCGGAGGTAAGGGTCGAGCTTCCAGTAGTCATCCCTGAGTTTGCGGGCAAGTTCCTCCCGCTGTGCCTTGATGGCTGCCTCCTTGTCTGTCCCGGCCTCTTTGATCCACTGGAGGGTTGTCTCCTCGTACTCGTGGACCAGTTCTTCCCTTCCAGAAAGCAGCGCGTCTCTTGTCGCCGTATCCTTCATCTTGTCATTCTCTCCAGCGACTGGCTCCACGTACTTGTAGTCCCAGTCTTCCTGGCCGTCGAGCTCTTTGAGAATGTGGCTTGGCTCAATGAACTCTGACATTTCCTTGACATTGTTGGTGAAGTGGACCTTGGCAGCTACAACCGGGTCCAGCCAACCCTTGATAATCTTCCAGATACCTGATCATCGTTTAGTTGTGTTACTTAAGACCAATCATGGGGGAAACAAACCTTGGAAGACCCACGGGGCCTTGTGCACTAGAACAGCACCGAGAGATTCGGGGTAGTTTGCCTCGAAGCATTTGATCATGAACTTCACAGGGGTGTAATCCTAGAGCAAGGGTCAGGAAATATCCCATCAAGTCGCGCTATATGGGGGTGACTAACCATGTTTGCCAGTGAAAAGCCGGTCATATCGAAAACGATTGTCTTTGTCCGATTAGCACAAGTCAGGCCGCCAAAACACGGATAAACTTACAGCAGTATCGACGGGAGGAGCCAGAACCATACGAGCTGTCTCAATCAAGAAGACAGTATACTTCTCGAGACTCTCCTCGCATTGCTCCCCCTGTCTATGCATGCGCACTCTGACCTGGCAGATCGGGCGTCCTCCCTTATCAAGGCCATGGATGAAAGTCTTGCCTGAACGAGCCTGGGCCATAAAGTCCTCTCCCAACTGCTTAATCTTGGGATCGGAATTTTGCGCAGCTTCGAGCGCACCAGCCTCACCACTCTTCATGATTTCGTCGTCAACCTTCATCTCCGTCAATCTCCAGTGCATCGTGGAGATCATCATAACGAAAGCCTTCTCAACGTCCCACTTTCGCGCCCTCAGGAATCGCAGGGCAAGGGCATCGGGATGGTCATGCTTGACCATCGACCATATCGTAGCGCGCAAAGCTTCGGGACTCTGGTTGGCCAAAGCCTCCTTGAACTGTTGCGTTTGACCGTATTTGTCCTCGCCATCCTCCTTGATACCAGCTGGGATGGCTGTCGATGTCGCGGCGCCCTCTTTCTTATCCTTGCGGCCAAACAATGAAGTGCGCTTCTTCTTGGGCTTGTCGCCTTTTCCGGCAGCCGACGTTTCGCTTGGGGCTATGCTAGCAGATGCGCTGTCTGCAGCGGCGGTGCTGGTCTCCTCGCCCAAGGACAGAATGAGATGCCACAGCTGGCGCAACTTTTCCTCCTGCTCCGGCGTGAGGTTACCCGGTCTCCCAGCGGGAATGTCCGTCGCCATGACTTCTAATGGATGAGGTTCTGCGATTTCGTTGTCTGGTTGAGGGTCAGGTTTGGAACCGGTGATTTGCTGATAAAACAGGCCGTATGCGCACGCAAGAGCAACGGCGACGGAGCAGAGGACGATGTCAACCCGTGACTCGAGGAGAACACGGGGTTTCTTGAGGTTGGGGAGGCCCGGTGACTGTAGTGATCCGAGTGGTTGGATTCGTCTGTAATTTGAGGGCTTGGAGGGGTAGTTGTATTTCCGAACACAGGGTCTGACTAGGAGCTGCCGTCCAAATCGCGTAGTCAATGGCAATTGTGCAAGGCGAGTCCCCGAAGCGTACTGGAGGGAGCTTTGCGAAAACGTGAAAATTCGAGGCAAAGCCGAGGTTTGTGGTTTCAAACAGACCGGCATCAGTCGACGACGTCAGTCAATGCTTCGGACTATATTGGTGGTGCTGAGACGGGGTCAGCAGGGTCATCCCACAGTGTAGTGCATTGGCAAATGGCGGCGGGTTGGAGAGGAAATTTGGCAAGGTAAAAAGAATCAAGCCGAGTGATGCGCGGATGGCCGGAATATGGCTTGCGCCGGAGGTTGAAGTGACGGGAGGGAGGGACAGACTGGGTGGCTGACATGCGCCGGAGGGGAGTTAAGGTATGGAGGGGTTGTGAGGATTGGGGAAAGACTAGGGTAGGTACCTACTTTGGTTACGCGGCTGATGGAGAGTTCAGGGACTGGCGTCTATGCGGTTGGCGGCCAAGGAGTAACAATGCAGGAAGACGAGAAGAGCAAAGTCGAGAGGACTGTCGAAGCCAGGTACGGGTACAGAGAGGTTGATGGATAACGCAGTGAGACCGGGTCTATTACGTGGGCAGTGAATGTGCGACGGAGGGGCAGCGTTGCGGACGGAGCTTTGAGCAAAGAGGAAAGTCGGGGGCGACGGGGATTGAGGGAGGCTTAGACGCGGCGGACAAGGAGGAGGAGGACGACGACACCTCAGCGACAATAGGTAAGCGCAATGTTGCGAGGGTCGAGCGCTGTACTTGATACCCCTTAGGAGGCTGTTCAAACTTCACGGAGTTGGTAGCTTGGTCACTGGTGTACGCAGATGTAGCTCAATTTCCGAGCGATCCGGACTGGCACAGATTCCAAGAGTACCGTTGGACCTTAGGTGCCTTAGTTGGTCTCTTTTGTTGTAGTGCTTGGGTGTCAGCTGTGGATTTGCCCAATGTACCTTGGAGTTGGCGAGCTATTGTGGTGCTGTGGTGTGGTGGGAGAAGAACAGCTTTGCGGACCCAGCAAGGAGACCGACACCGACCAGGAGGGGTAAGGTATGGGTAGGTTGAGGTGGGATGTCGTTGAGAGCGGGGG